ACAAAGATGAACATCAATAAAGACCAAGATTGATTTGAGCGATGGAGGTCGTGGAAGTGGCGCCGACGGGTGGAGGGAGGGGTCGGGGTAGCGACTGGAAGTGAAAGGGAGGGGAAGAGGTGCCTCCCCAACCGGCAACAACAATGGTGGCTTGTTAGGGTTAGGGTTTGGAGGATGATGATGGTAAGGGTATTTTTGGTATGGTAGGATGTGTATTGAGTGAAAGTTGATAATTTATATTTATTTAATGTGTGTATTGAGAAAAGATGTGGAAAGAGAGGAAGTAGTGTATGGAAATAAAATTTCCCTAATAAGTTAGATCAAGTCTAATTTAGACGACTAAAATAAACAAATCATTATTAAAGAAAGCTAAAAATAATTACAAAATTATATTCCATGAACTTAAATTTTAATAATTTACCATTAGAAAAATACAAATGAGAAATAATATCACACAATTCATCCAGTAAATGAATGGTAATGAATTATGGGTTGTTTTGGCAACAAGCCAAAAAAGCTAAAAACCAGCTTTTAACTCATTTTAGGTCACATCACCTCTCACATGAAACAGTGAAAAAAAGTCAAAAAAGTTAAAAAAGCTAATTTTTAACTATCTTCCCAAAACACCCCAGATACGTACCCAAAATTTTGAAATTATCATATACTAATAAATGAAAGATGAAAATAATTTGATGGTTTTTTTTTTTTTTAGAAAATAAAACGAGCATAACTATGGTACACTCTTATAAATGCATATAGTATGCCTTTTCAAAACTATACTACAATGATTGATAACAAAATCACAATAGTTAAGTAACTTTTTCACGATAATAGTATGTAATATTTTAATATTCATAAAATTGTCATATTAATTTGTTATATAACCGTAATAATTTGTAACTAAAACTTCTTTTATGGGGCATCCATTCGTAACATAATTACAATAATTTGTATTAACACTATAAAAACTCATAACGATTCTACAAAATATACAAAATATTATACTCATATCTTAACAATCCCCCCAACTTAACAAGCCAAGACCCCCCTAAAACCCCACTAAAATAGAGGCCCCTTATATATAATCTTTCTCGTTTGACTCACTTTGTCTCTTTTAAAAATAACTGTATACTTCTCACATGATTTTAGATTAATTTGTAACACTAACACCATTAAATTTACTTGCAAAAAACACTTGTACAAACTTGTACAATATGTAATTGATATAAATGTACTCCTTACGTCCCAAAATAATAATTTTTTTTGGAGAATTTAATTTTTTTTGGTAATACAATTATTACACTTTAAAAAAATTGATTTTCTAAAATTACCCTTTAATAGTACATTTTTTTGGAGAATATCAACGTCATAATTGTACTTTTTATGTTGTTAATGAATTTAAAAGAAGGGCAAAATAGAAAATTTATATTATTTTTTTACTTGATTTTTGAAAAGGGACTAATATTTTAAGATAATAAAAAATAAAATATGGGACTAATATTTTGAGGCGGAAGGAGTATTTTTTTGGTATCACTATCTCACACTTTATCTGAATATTTAATAAATTATTTGATAATTCTATCATTACTCTTTGTCCAATATGAACCTGACACACCAAAGACTAGAGACGAGTTTCTACCCCTGTAATAACCCACATTCATGTCTTAGTCATGTTCATGTACATTTGCATGATCTTGTTTTGTTAAGCTTGCATTTGCAGACTTTGACTTGTTTTGCCTAAGTGAGATTCATGCCTTGTTTTGATGCCTTTGTGATTTGTCTAAGTGTTGTGTGCTTGCTTTGCTCCTTCCTTGATGTGAAGCCTAGGTCACGCCAAGCCTAAGTTATGTTAGCCGATGTTATTCCAAGCCTAGGTTATGCAAAGCCTAGATCATTCCAAGCCGAGGTCATCTTCAGTCTAGAAGTATCCTGGAACCCCTTCGTTTGACCTCCACCTTTGCTTTGACATATTGGCCGGGATGTCATTATCTAGGCCAAGGTGTGAATCACCAAGGCCGAGATGTGTATCATCTAGGCCGAGATGTTACCTTTGCACCTGAGCGACCTTGTCCTGGAGTGGTATGACCTAGACCGAGGTGTGGCACATCTAGGCCAAGGTGTGGCACAGCTTAGTCAAGAGTTGTCCTTCCTAGCCGAGGTCATTGTCACCCTAGTTGCCGAAGTCTTGTTGTTAGCCGATGTCACCCCTTGCTGGAGTGCCATTCCGAGTAGCTTGTTAGATACGCTTTGTCATTGCCTTGTCTTGTCAATCCATCACCTTTTTGAAGAGAACCAACCAGCCATTGCCACGTGTCCGAGCTGAGAGTTAAGTCAGCCAATAGAGAGAGAAACCTATCATTTGTTGTATTTTGTTTTGAAGAGAAGAGAGAGAAGCTCTAGAAAAGGGAAGAAGAGTTCTTGAGAGAGAGTAGATTTCCAAGCTTGATTTCTTGAGATCGGACCGTTAGATCCGTGTTTTAAGGTTAGATTCTTGATCTGCTCTTGTCGTTCTTTATGTTTATGTTATTGCATTGCATTATTGAAAATGATTTGTAAGCCATGCATTGCTTTGAAGTTCGGTTTTAGAAAGAGAAAATAGCATTCATGTGTTCTTCAAGAAAAGTCATGTTTTGATCCGAAGGCTTATGCCAAGATCCATGTTTTTGTGTTTGTTCTTGCATGATTTTCAAGTATGGGCACCCAGGTCCATGTTTTCGAACTCATGGCATGAAATCTCAGATTTTAGTAACAAGTTACGATCTTGCATTCATCTTTCTCATGATCATGTTCATCATGTTCTTCATGTTCTTCAAAGGGAAACCCAGGTTTTCCCGACCTTGCTTTTGAATGAGGCCGTCGGGACCACACCTCGGCAAGGAGGTGTAGGACCTTGGCTTAGACCTGGTTGGTACCCAGCATGTCTTCCTGACATGTAAAATAGTGTTTTGACTTCTAGCACGTCTTCCCGAGATCATTTGCATGCATGTAAGACTTGTTTTGAGATGTATGTTCAGTATGCTTGCCATGTGTTTGTAGGACTTGGACCTTTGCCTTGACCCCGACGTCCCAAGAACTAATGTGAGTGGTATTTTTAATAAAGTTATGTTCTTAAGGTTTTGATAAAGCTTTGCCTTGTTTTGATAAAAGTATTTGTTAAGCATGAATGATATCCCTATTTTATGTATCAAGTATAAGCTTTGTTTTGAATGGCAAGTTATCAAGTAAGCTTTGTTTTGAATGGCAAGTTATCAAGTAAGCTTTGTTTTGAAGCACTAAGTATAAAAGGATACGGTCCTTTCTTGGAAAGACTATAATGTTAAAGCGGGCTACGGGCCTAAGGAACACGAGCTCCATAATGTTAAATCGGGCTACGGGCCTAAGTAACACAAGTCTCATGGTGTTAAAGCGGGCTATGGGCCTAAGTAACACGAGCTCCATAATGTTAAAGCGGGCTACGGGCCTAAGTAACACGAGCTCCATGTTGTTAAATCGGGCTACGGGCCTAAGTAACACGTCTTGTAAGTCAGTAAGTTTTGAAGGACCAAGGTTATGCCGAGGTTATGATATAAGATTTTGACGTATGTTAAGTATGTAAGTTTTGTAAGATCAAGTTTGATGAACAAGATTTATCTCATATTTTGTACAAGCTATGATAAGTATGGTTTTGACAAGGATATATTATGTATTGTTTTGAAAAGACCTCGGGAATCATTCATTCAACCCCTTTATTACTTGTACCATTCACTGAGTATCCAAGCTCACCCTCCCTATGTATATATGTAGGTAACAAGCGAGAAGTCAGCTTCGCCGAGGTGTGTGTTTTGTATGCATGTTGTGTCGGCTTGAGGATGTCGGCAATCTGAAGATTATGTATTCTTGATTTGTATTTCATGTGTTATATTTATGTCGGCTTGAGAAGCCTTTTGCCAAGATGTAATACGTACTTTTGTATTCAAGTTGTAAAGCTATGTAAAGATGTATGCCATTTCACTTGACTTATGCACCGCTCTTATGGACCACTTGTATTTTGAATTATTGCTTCCGCATTTGTGAGCCCCCTATATATATACTCTGATTGTGTGTGAATTTTGTAAGTTGGCCTTCGGTAATTACGGATTACTGGCCATCACGGCACCAAACTACTAGGGGCGGTTTGGGGTCGTGACAACCCCCAACAAGCCGGACTGGCCTTGTTTCTACCCACAAGAAGAAGACGGAATGGCAGTCCACTGATGACGGAGTGACTTTTTCACCAAAATTTAAATCTGATGTCAACTTTGGTTCACCGTTGAAGATGGTCTAACTGTCTCTTTTAAAAAATAACCATATACTTCTCACATGATTTTAGATTAATTTATAACACTAACACCATTAAATTTATTTGCAAATTTTTTTTGTACAAACTTGTACAATGTTGTGGGTGTTTGGGAAGTAGATTTTTTTGTAGATTTTTTTAGTTGTACGGTATTATTAGAGAAATTTTTTTTGTGTTTGAGAAGATAGTTGAATTTTTTTGTGGTTGGATGTGATGTTTATGAGAGAAAAAATAAAATAATTATGAGATTTGATGTAATATTTTGTTTAAATTTATTTTTTTTGATTTTATAATCAATTTATCTTTTAATAAAAAAAACTAAAAAAAATCAAAAACCAAACTTTCCAAACACCGCCATATGTAACTGATATAAATGTATTTTTTTTAGTATCACTATCTCACTCTTTATCTGACACTTTATCTGAGTATTTGATATTTTTTTGAAAAATTATTTGATAATTCTATCATTCCTCTTTGTCCAATATAAACCTGACACACCAAAAACAAGAGACAAGAGTTTCTACCCCCAAGAAGAGGTAATGGCCTTGTTTCTACCCCCAAGAAGACGGAATGGCAGTCCACTGATGACTTGACTTGGACATAAATGTATTCTTATTTACACATTTTAATAATTTTTAATTATATACATTATATTATAATAATTATTAGTATAACTAGTTGCTCATGGCTTGAGACTTTTCAAAACAATCAAGTCTTCTTATACAATTTATAAAACTCTAATCTTTCAACACAGGCATCAAAATTACATTCCACACCCAGAAGCTATGGGCACAACCTCTAGTGCACTTGTGATGTTATTTGCTCTTTTTTTCATTGAAAGACTTGAGTTCATTTGCAGTAGTATAAATTCAAATGTGAGTTGCATAACGAGTGAGCGAGAAGCTCTTATGAAATTCAAAGGAAATCTGACAGATGAAGCAAATCGTTTATCCTCGTGGGTTGGAGAGGACTGTTGTACGTGGAAGGGAGTTGGTTGTAGCAGCAAAACAGGCCATGTTGTGAAGCTTGATCTGCGTAATCCAATTCGCAAACCATCTTCGACCTTCTCTAGCGATTATTCAAATTTCGAAATGAACAAATTGGGTGGTCAGATAAGTCCTTCCTTACTCGATTTGAATCATTTGCATTACCTAGACTTGAGCATGAACGATATGCAAATTTCTAATTCCTTAGGATCTTTGAAAAGCTTGAGATACCTTGACCTCTCTTGGTCAATTTTCAATGCAACGATTCCTCATAATCTGGGAAATCTTTCAAGGTTGCAGTATCTCAACCTTAGCTATAATTATTTACCTGGTCCAATTCCTGATACACTTGGAAGGTTGACCTCTCTCACAGTCCTTGACCTTTCAAGTAACAACTTCAATGATTCAATGTCGTATTCTTTGTGTAACCTGAGCAATCTTGTCCATATAGATCTTAGTGATACTAGCCATAGAGGTGCAATCCCCCATTGCCTTGGGAATCTTGCTTCTCTTTCCATCCTCAGGTTGAATTTTAATCAACTTCAAGGTCCAATTCCAAGTGAGATGGGAAATATGACACAACTTACAGAGCTTGACCTCTCTTTGAATGCCTTTGCATTTGAAATACCAAAATCCATGAGGAACCTCTGCAACTTGCGTGTATTGGATTTGTCCAATAACATGTTCACTGGAAAGCTTTCAACTTCTATTGGAAGTCCATTTGGTTGCATCCATAATAGTTTGGAAGATTTGTCTCTTTCTTCCAATAAGTTGAGTGGTGGTCTGCCAAACCATTTGGGAGAGTTTAAGAAACTAGAGAGGCTTATTATTGGATGGAATTCATTTTATGGTCCGCTGCCATCATCACTCGGAAGACTATCATATTTGAGAGAGTTAGATATTAGTGACAATCAATTGAATGGGAGCATTCCAATTAGTCTTGGACAACTTTCAAAACTAGAATCTCTATATTTGTCGAACAATTCATTTGTTGGCACCGTATTTGAACTTCACTTTGCTAAACTCAAGAGTTTAAATGAATTGTACTTGGATTCAAATTCATTAGTTTTGAATGTGACCTCCCAATGGGTTCCTCCCTTTCAACTCCAAGTCATAGAATTGTCATCCATCAAAGTAGGACCCCAATTTCCTCAATGGCTCGAAACACAAAAAAATGTTACAGAGTTGTACATGTCTAATGCAAGCATCTCAGTTGTCATTCCTGATTGGTTTGAGAGTATTTATTGTGGCATTATAAACTTGGATCTTTCCAACAATCAGATCAAAGGAACGGTACCAATATTTAAAAATTGTAAATATAGAGATAGTGCTGATGACAAATGGTTACAATTGGGTTCTAACAGATTTGAGGACCCACTAACACCGCTTCCTTCACATGTTCTTTTCTTAGATCTCTTCAACAACTTGCTTTCAAGACCTATTACTGTGAGTGATGATAATGCGACGAGCATCAAGTATCTTTTTCTCTCAAATAACCATTTGACTGGTGTCATTCCAGCGTCTTTGTGCAAGGCACAGCGTATAACTGTTATTGATTTCTCAAACAATCAGTTATCAGGAAAAATTCCTCCTTGCTTGGGGCAGTTGGATCAGTTGTCGGTGCTAGATTTGACGAATAATGGTCTATATGGTGAAATTCCAAGTTCATTGGGTTCCCTACAATTTCTCAATTCCTTGCACTTGCGTAACAATAAGTTTTATGGGAAGCTTCCTTTGTCCTTACAGAATTTGACGGATCTTTTCACCATTGATCTAGGTGAAAATGTGTTCACTGATAATATCCCTCCATGGATTGGATATAACCTAACTAATCTTAAATTTCTCAATCTTCAATCAAATAATTTCTATGGTGATATTCCTCCGCAACTCTGTCATCTCCAAAAATTGCATTTGTTGAACTTGGCACAAAATAACATAATGGGAAATATCCCTCGTTGTTTTGGCAACTTCACTGCCATGGTTGCACTAGATCATGAGGGCATAAGATATATGGCTCGCCCTCGTGAAGAGTACATTGTGGATTCAATGAAAGGAAGAGAACTGGAATACACCAAGACAGCTAAATTTCTCATCTCCATGGACCTTTCGAACAATGGCATTGTTGGAGAGATTCCAGAAGAGTTAATGGATCTTTTTGGGTTGCTCAACTTGAATTTATCTGGAAATCATCTAAAAGGAAGGATCCCTAATAATATTGGCAATTTGACACAATTGGAATCTCTTGATTTGTCTCGAAACAAACTTTCTGGCCCCATTCCTCCAAGTCTGTCTAGTTTAACCTTCCTAAGTCATTTGAACATGTCATTCAATAATTTATCAGGGCGAATACCAACGGGAAATCAACTTCAAACTCTCAATGATCCTTCCATTTATATAGGCAACGATGGCCTTTGTGGTGCACCACTCCTAAACAGTTGCCTCGATAATAAATCATCTGATGGTGATCACAAACATGCTGATGAGAGTAAAGTTGCAGATGAAACTGATTTTTTGTGGTTCTACACTGGCATTGGACCTGGTTTCCTGGTTGGGTTCTTGGGGGTCTGTGGCACTTTGAATTTCAAGAGGTCTTGGAGGTATGCATACTTCCAGTTCATCGAAAACAACTACAATTGGATATCAATGAACATAGCAATCAAGCTCGCTCAGCTAAGGAGGATGTTCAACAAAGGCAAATTTGGAGGATGAATTTATCACCCAATTGGTTCGTCTCTCTCTCTCTCTCTCTCTCTCTCTCATGTAACTATATTACCTCTGTATCTTGTCTTGATTGCGATGTGTGCATCAAATCAACATCATAACCCATGATTTATCTTGCATGAATCTTTCGAATTTTTTTCAATTCCTTACCATCATTAACATAACAATTCTATTCATGTTAATGATTTTTGGAACATCATCACAACTTGAAGAATAACCATTCATATTTTGAAGTGGAGGTAGTGATATTTCCAGATTATCATCAAAACATGTCTTACATTCAAGATCATATAGCAAAGTATAGATTAAGTTCCACCAAATTTCTTTACCAAAAGCGCCAAAATTCTTTGTCACATGCTTAAAAACATTGAAACAAATGCAGGTTTGTTGCTATATAGTTCAAATAATGCAAATACATTTCTCAAATATTTTTTCAGAAGTCATTTGTCGCATTATTTCAGAGAAACCATGTTAACATCCAGTAATATGCTTGTTATATGCTTTGCTGTCATTAAAGGGTCTTATATTCAGCTGGAGAAAGGACCCTCAGAGGAAAGCAGCATTGAGATCATGTTATGGATTTTCTTGAGTTGTTGGAAAGAAATAAGTTTGAATAATTCTATAGTTCTAGTATATGTGTTGATGGGGTTTGATGATTTTGTGCCTTTTGTAAAATATTCTAAGTCTTTCCTTAAATAAATGATTTGTGAACTATCATATTGTCCAGAATATGTTATGTATTCTCCTTTTATTGGTGAATTCTATGATTTTTGCCGATTGAGGCCACAGATTCTAGTTTTTATGTTGAGAATTGAGCAAAATGCTCCAACAATGATATACATATAGTAATGGTATCACCAAGAAAAACCTTATCAAAACAGAGAGGTATTGTGCAACAGTCAAATTCACATATAAGTTCAACTATTCATGTTTTTATTCACATTGTAGTAATCTTTACTTGTGTCAAAGTTTTTAATGATTTAAGAGAAGTACGTAACATCAGTAATATACAAGTGTTTGTGGTTGGCTTTTTTAATACCTTTTTGTTGATTTTTTTCATCTTTAATGATTTTTTTTTTTTAAATTAAAAAGTGTTACTCTTGAATTCTACTCGACTAGAAAAATTAGAAAAGATAAAAAAAATTGAAAATTTTGAAAAAAACAGTCCAAAAATGATTTTTTAAAAAAAACAAAAATAGTTGAATTTTTATTTTTTTGTAACTTTTTTTGTCTTTAGGATTATTTTTATTTTTTTTACTTTTTAGATTCGTCTACACAAGACAAACCTAAAAATAAAAAAAATGGACATAATTTAGAAAGAAAAAAATCACTAAAAATTTAAAATATATATATAACTTTTTTAGGTGAATTCCACACACTAACAAAAGCCAAAGCAATAAAACTGTCAATGTAACCAAAATATCATAAGTTTCCATATATGCAGATGCAAATGCAGATGATTAGCTTCTAACTACACATTGATTTCAGCAGTCCACACAATTACCCAAAGGGGATCTAAATCAATTATCACGTTCAATAGGCTGATCCTACACACCATACCAACAATAAGCATAGAGAAAAGGAAGATGCTACGATGTTCACTCTTAAAATGATGCATATGGTATACTTTTGTATTATTTTAATCCCTATATTTTCAAATCACTTGATTTTAACTCTGAATTTTATATTGTCTCTTTTTGTCCCAATTGAAAATGGTAGTTAAGTTTTTTGACAGAAATTGGCCATGTGTATGTCACATGCCTTATTTTAAAGGGTAAAATTGTAAATTCAATATTTTGTACATTATTCAGAGTGAGTTAACTCAATCAAATAAAAACACATGTGGATCTCAATTGTAGAAAGAGATGGTTTATGTTTAACAAATGGTTCGACAGGGAAAAAGAAGGGGGGTTTGTTCGACGGTGGGGCTCAGTTGGGGTAAGGTCATGAGATTCAACTGGTGTCCATTGCTGAGAAGGTCACGTCCAGAGACCACTACTTTTGCTGCAGCTGCAATTGCTGCAGATCGTGAGATTTCATCTTTGTCATGATCTCCTCCTCATCTCTATTGCATGCTATTTACCATTTTGGGCAATAGAACTGATCCAAGTTTTTCCTCCTTAAAATAAATAAAAACTTAACCAAGTTCTTTATGGAATTGTTTGTAAATTTTCTTATATTACTTTGAAAAAAGTCTTTTTGTCAATGGTGTTTTGCTAAGATATTATGGAATTGATTCAATGTGAAAATTTTAGAGACCACTGATGTAATTTGTCCACTAAAAAAAGACAAGTTCCGTTTGGCACTAGTAATCTTAGAAGTTTGAGATAAATATTATGATCTAGTTGGGGGGGGGGACGCAACTAATAAAGGTAATACGTAAATATAAAAATAATTAATAATAGAACATACATTTCAATATAAAGATATAATAATATTTTATTTTTATTTTTTTTTTATCTATATGGATAATGAATGGCCAATAATACTACATCTATTTATTTTTTAATGATATTAGTTTACCATATCATGGTCATGATTGCATTGGTTAAATTGGTTCCATCACTAGGGACAATTTCAAGGCAATTGTGATAAATGATATGGTAAAAAATGTGATCATATAAATGAATGACTTCGCCTAGTGGCAAAAAGATAGACCCTAAGAATGAACTGTAAACCTAAACATATCGACTCTTACTAGTGTCTCTCAGACTTAACCGATACGTGTGATTTGTAGGCAATCTTTAGAAGGAAAGTGATTAAGAGCTCTAAAATTATAACTCTAATATGAGCTCTAGTGATGTAGCCTATGAAGCACGGATACTTCAAAAATGGTGACGTATCCGTATCGGATACTTATCGGATACCGATACTCCTCGGATACTCGCGGATACGTATCGGATACTTCTTAAAAGTATCGGATACTTCTTAATTAATTTTTTATTAATTTTGAAGTATCGGATACTCGAAGTTACATATTACTTATAATATTTTGTTTAGGTTCTTTCATAAGAGGAATATAGTGAGAGCTTAAGTAAAAGATTTGTCAAATTGATGTATCCTTGTTGTCTCTCTCACTTCTCTCTCGCTTCTCCTCACTCTCTCACGTTTCTTCTTCTGCTCTCATTCTTTTTTTTGGTATTGGCATGTAAGGATGATGTTTTAATTTGCATTTGCATTTGCATTTATTTTTGCTTTAGTTTGGATGTTTTATGAATGTTTGAGCACTTTTAGGTTAATAGGAATCCCTCTCTTTATTTATTAATTTACTTTAAGTTTTATTTTCATGCATATTACATTATTAAAATCACAAAAAAAAAAAAAAAAAATTATGAATGTATCCCCGCTGAACCCATATCATACTTTTTCAAATTTTGTCGTATCGCCGTATCCGTATCGTATCGTATCCGTATCCCGTATCTGTATCCGTGCTTCCTAGGCTATTATTGATGACTTAAAAAAGTATGTTTGCTGAAATTTTTATTTAAGAATGGTTTTTTGGCTTTGGCTTTGGCTTTAGCTAAGGTCTTGTGATATTCACTGATGAAGGGGAACAAGTTGAAGCTATTGACCTTGAAGACTCTTAGTTTTGTAGGAATCTTTCTTCTTTATCAAGTTGTCTTTTGCTTTAAGTTTTATTTTTATGCATACTGCATTACTAAAAATTGTTAAAATAATATTTTTTACGAACGTATCTCCGCCGTACCCGTATCCTAGTTTTTCAAATTTTGTCATATCGCCGTATCGTATCGTATCCGTATCCGTATCCATGCTTCCTAGGATGTAGCAAAGCAAAAGAATAATAAATAAAAAATAACCAAAACATCACATCATATGGTGGAACCAACCATTAGAGCTCTCTCTAAAGCTCTTCCTCTAAAACTCCTAAACATTTTTCTTTTTAGAATTCGAGATTTACTTACTCTGAAGAGTGGGTCCAATGTAGCTTTCATGATTGCAGTGGTTAAGTTTGTTGAGTTTTTTTTTTTTTAATATTATGAAGAACAAAAAAACAATTTAGAGAGTTGACCCACTTTTCAAACTATTTGGAAAACTAAATTACTTTTGAAAACACATTTTCAAAATGCGATTTTAAAATTGAAATTGCATTTTTAACATGCAATTTCACTTTGAAATCGCAGGTTAAAAATGCAATTTATGATAACATGGTGAAATTGCATGTTCAACATGCGCTTTCAATTGAAATTGCATGTTGAAAATGCAATTTCAATTTTAAAATCGCATTTTCAAAATGCGATTTCAAAAGCAGGTTAGTTTCTCAAATAGTTTGAAAAGTAGGTCAATTCTCTAAATTGTTTTTTCTTTTTAGAATGTTAAAAAAAAAAACCCTAAGTTTGTAAATAGTTTGAAAAGTAGGTCAATTCTCTAAATTGTTTTTTCTTTTTAGAATGTTAAAAAAAAAAAACCCTAAGTTTGTTCCATCACCCCTAGGGATGGCAATTGGAACCCGGCCCGACGGGGACCCGATCCCCCGACCCCGAATTGAGTGGTTATTCCCCGAAAAATACCCCCGACGGGCCGGGGATGGTATTAAAAATTGAATCCCCGATGATATTCGGGTCGGGGATGGGGATACATGTTTCAGCCCCGGACCCGGCCCGACCCCGTCCCCGATCCCCGCCCCACTGAATCCCCGATGTAAAATTACTATATTGCCCCTTTTATATATATTATATGTGTGAGTGTGTGTAGGGTCTGGGCACTGTTGGCAGACGCAACCCACACAACACACACACATCTTCTCGCTCTCTCTCATCTGTTCCTCACCACCGCAGCCCTCATGGTGTCTCCTCTCACCGCACCTCCGTTCTTCTTCTCTTCCTCTCACAGCACCGTCTCTCACCGCACCACCGCTCACCGCACCGTCTCTCACCGTACCGCCGCTCACCGCACCGTCTCTCACCATGTCGGCGACGGCTCCTCCCTCACCGTCGTTCCTCACCGCAGCTCCTCCTCTCTCCCTCTCACGGTATCTCCTTGTCTCTCTCTCTCTCTCTCTCTCTCTCTCTCACGGTATCTCCTCCTCTCTCTCTCTCTCTCTGTTTTTTTGATTTTGTTCTCTGTTTTTTGATTTTGTTCTTCAGATCTGAAAATGATAAAGATGAAGATGAACAATGTTGATCTGTGTTGATGAAGGTTTTTGATTTTTTGATCTGTGTTTGATTTTTTGATCTGTTTGTTGATGAACATGTTGATCAAGGTTTTTGATTTTTTGATCTGTGTTAGATCTGTTTGTTGATCTGTTATTGTTTCGGGGATCGGGGACGGGGAGGGTGATCCCCGGCCCCGCCCCGCCCCGTTGCCATTCCTAATCACCCCCATTCTGCAATTATCTTTTTTGTCCTTATTAGTCATAGAGATTCGAGAGTAGGAGAGAAATAAGTGGGGGGAATTGTTCATATGGAAATCATAATTAAGTAAATTTCCAACTAAAAAAATCTTCCCACACAAGCAAAAGTAGAAAACCACCACCTAGGGACATTTTCAACCCCTATGGTTTGAGAAGTGTTATTTTAATTAATTTTTTTAAAAAAATTGAGAGTGATATAATAATTTATAATGACTTTTTAACTATATTAGTCTAATGTCAAACAACGTTTATCAAATTTAAATTTGGATAAAAATCTTGCAAAACACCACTCTACTCATTGACTCAAATTTATATGAAATTGAGTTTTACCCATTTTTTAACCCAATTTAAAGAAGACTTAAATATATACTTGAATTTTTTTCAAGATCATTTTGTAATTTTCAAATTTACCACTCTGTCATTACTGAAGTTTTACCCAAATTTACGTTCAAACCTAAGTTTATCCAATGGAATGTCATATCAAATTAAACTTAGATTTTTAATTAAATTTGCAGCAGTGATACATCCACACAATTTCTTCCCCTCACAATCATCCTCCTAATGAGGTGACAAAACAAAATACATATAAAGAAAGTTTTAAGGGAATATTTGAATGTAAATCAACTTTTCAAATTTTGCTTGTCACATCATTTGAGAGGGTTTGGGGGAGGGAATTATGTCAATGAATCATTTTTCTTAAATTTGAGTAAAAATTTAAGGACCGAAAATGGCCTAACAAACTTTTTAAAATTTGGCCTGAATTAAGTTAAAATAAGCTTAAACTATTTTACAATAGGCCTACATAGACTAGTTTATTGGTTGTAGTAATGCTTGGTTGGTTTATTGTTTAGGGTAAATTACACCAGTAATCCCTATGTTTTATTTCTTGCATCATTTTGATCCCTACACTTTCAATTGGCTCAATTTTGATCATTCATTTTAAATTTTGTGTCAATTTGGTCCAATTGATAATATTTAGTGTTTTTTTAAAAAATTATCACTAAATTGGTTGAGGTTAACTCACTGAGTTGAGTAAGTTTATAATTGTACCCTTAAAAATATGACACATAACACTTAAGTGCATATTTTCTACAAAAAAAAAAAAATGCTAAAAGTTCAAATCAATTGGACCAAATTGAGACAAATTCATAAATTTAAGATTAGAATCGAGCCAATTGAAATTATAAAGACTAAAATTTCACAATGACCAAAATACAAGAACTACCATCATAATTTGCCCCATTGTTTATTGACTAATACCATTCCAAAGCAAGGCAAATACCTAACCTTAAGAAATTGTGAGTGTTGAGCAAGAATTCTAAGGTTGACTTAATGAGACACCTATAAGTATACCTTGCTGTATATGACAAAAATATAAGTTGATCAAACAAGGCTGAACTAGTTACTCCAAAAAGAGAGCCCAAAAGAGAACCAAATGGGAGAGTTCAATACTGAAGTGTCAAAGGTTACGAGGATGAGCACGGCTGTGTGCTTTTTATGCTGTGTTTGGTTGAGGGATTTGGGGAGGGATTTAGAAAGGGAAAGGGAAAAAGTGTGTGAAACTATGTGACATATAGACATGGTTTATTCATATTTCACCTACCTTTTCCATTTCCCTTTCCAAATCCCTTCTCAAATCCCCCAACCAAACACAGCATTAGTGTCTATATCTTGGCTTATTTTTGAATGTGTGTCCAAGGAATTTGGAGGAAAGAAAACACATATCACTTTAAGAATAAATTTGGTGAGTTTGACTTTGTTTCACTTTTCATATTTATCTAAATATTTGGGATCTACTTTTTGACTCATTTCTATAAAAATTAACCGTGTGTTTCCTAGAAAACAACAATAAAAAATGAAACACAATAAATAAATAAAAAGTGATAATTCTCATGTCTTCCATCTCATTTTAGTTTTCAATCTTATGATTTTTAATCCTTCTCCTAATCGACAATTTGAAATCCAAATGTACAGATCAATCATACAGCATTGTGGCAGGAGGATTCATGATGGCTTCATCACTTTGATGATCAAAGTTCTCCATTTCTCCATTGCCAAATGTTTACAGTTCAGATACTTGAGGCCACTGCAGCCTGCACATTCAACTACATCCATGCTATTTTGCGTTTCGTTGACTCGATCAGTTTCTTCAATGTACTCTTGATTTTGATTTGTTTAATCTCTTTGTAAAGTTCATTCAAGCCAAACTGCTGTCATCAATCGCTATTGAACCAACATAATTGCAACAGCCCAACATTTCGGACCACAATTACTTTTATCCAGTCCACTAAAGAAACCTGGGCACATATGGAGAGCGTGAGACCCCTAAATTTTGTAAATCCTAGCAAGACCCTTACTTTTGAAATTATTATAATAAAATCGCTTAATTCCCCGTTTATTCACAAAATTAACCCTAGAACTGAAATCGTACTACGGATGAACCGGTACAAACCCTAATCGATCCTGGTAACTTAGAAATCATTTCTAACACTCTAGTATTAATTATTTAACTCACAAATTTTAGATTAGTAGCTTAAAATCCTAATTTTCGATTTTTATCATTTTCATTCAGTTATGTCTTTTAATTCAAAGCATGATCATTCGAACCAAATTATTTTTCCTAACATTATTTTAATTAATACTACACTTAAAATAGATATTCTAATCAATTCCAAACACACATTTTATTTTAACTACATTTTGAGCCCAAATCATTCTTTATACATATAAAAGTACACCCCCAATATTATAATCTTTTTTTTCAAAATATCTACAATATGTATATATATATAAATAAATGAGAAAAGTCCATCAAATCACCCACATGGGCCAGCCACCCTATCATATACACTTGTAGTGTACTTTTGAAAACAACATTGCATGATTCACGAAGGAAATTTGACCTTGGTACCATAATTCAAGTAAATTTGTATTGTACTTGTAGCTAGCTTAGTTCTAATTAAACATAACCCGAACTAGAACTTGCTTAAGTACACAATTAGGGCCCTAATCACCCCTCATTCCATGACATCCTAACTAAATCCAAGCCTATTCAATTGAATTGGAACTAAGGACATTTTGGACTTTTCACCATTCTTTTTTTTTTCTATAAATACACCAATCCTCTCTACACTTTTGAGCACAAAACACACTCACACACTACATATTCAGTTGAGAAAGAGAGGAACAGAGCTTTGGTAGTAGAGGAAAGGAAAAAAGAGAAGAAATTGTGCAAACTCTTCAACTAGGCAACAAGTAAGCCACAAACACAACTCTCTTTTATTTTCGTTTTTCAAATACATGTTATTAGAGTCTTGAAATCATATTTTCAGATGTGTTGTAATGGCATTCATGTGTTCAAAGTTGATGAATTAGGCTTGATCCTACTTCTACTCATATTTCCTCTTAATAGATGCAAAACTACTTTTTTCTCCCCATATCTCACATTATTTCCAAAAGCATACCACCACTCTAAAAATCTGAGTTATTGACACATTATTTAGTATGTTTTCACCAAAAAATAAGTGAAAAATTTCCTTTGGTTGGCCTCTTTTCTCACCAATCATCTTATTTTGAGTATTGTGCATGAAAAATTTGTTTTACAGCCAACTTTCGAAAATTCTAGAAAAATCATCTGGACCTCGGTTTTATGTCAAAAACTTCCTTAACGAGTTAGCTTTCAAGGAAAATTGGTTTCATTGAAAAAGAGTGAGCGGTTTGTAAGAAAATCTGACTTTTGTGAACAGTCGACAAATCTGGACAGCGCTAGAGTATTTCTTAAATAACTAAACATCTAGAAAAGCTACACCATTTCCGAAAAATGTTCTGAAAACTAGATAAAATTTTCTATGAACCACAAGAAGGCTAGGTTCAGGAAAAATCTGAAATAGTCCTTTTGATTTTAATCTTTAAGTAGTACTTAATCTGGAAATACTATTTTACATTGGTGTTTTATACTCTTATCTTCATGAATATACTTATTAGTATATGATCATGTCTTGATATGATATTGCATGTATTATGGGAATATACCTTTTATTTAGTCCTTTGATGATGCTTATATCTATGAAAATTTATTTCAATTGCTTGTGCTAACTAGCTTAAGATGTAACTCAATGGGAAACTTAATTGGGATGGTATTAGCCCTGTTTGGTAGAACTGTGGGAAAGTGCTTATAGCTTATGGCTCAACAGCTTATAACTTATAACTTTCAGCTTAAGCTGATTTCCAGCTTATTCTTGAAGCATCTCCTGCCCCACTCAAAGAATAAGCTGATTTTTGACTTCCAAAAAGGTATAAGCTATAAGGTATAAGTTAAACTAAACACATCAAAATAGCTTAAATTAAGCTGAAAGCTGAAATAAGCTACAATTAAACTCTGCCAAACAGGCACATTGGATTTTCGATCACTTGAATATGGATTGATGGGGACATGTTCCCTAATTGAAGGAAAGTCTTGCGCAAGCGGTTGTATCGGAACCCTTGAATGGCGGTTGTATTCGGACCCTAGGTGTTTATGATGGATAAGGTTTGAGGAGGTTATGGGCAAGGCCCTTACTTTACCGTCTCTTTTGAGGTCCTCGATTGGCGCTACACGATATGTAACCATTAGCAGGCATCCGAGGTAGGTCTGTAAAGCAGCAAAAGAGGGGGCATACCGAATAATCCGAGTCCAATTCTTGTGAGAGAATCAAATCTCTTTGGGAGATTTTTAGATTACTAACATCTAACATTGTAATCCTTTATTATTGAATGATTATCATGCTTCATTACTCGCTGGTTATAATTGTGATCGTGTATTGGATTAGGAAAAAGGGCAGGGTGTGTGTGCATTTACTGGACATTCAAAACTCATGGCGTTTCATGCCAGGTATTGAAGACTATTAAATTGGTTAAAGGCAAAGCTGAAGTATTTGAGGATGTATGGCTATCCTATGAGTTAGGAACTAATTTTGTATACATGTTTTGAGATTGTAAGTGATTAATTGCTTGTTGTATTAAGACATGATTTTGTAATTATATATATATATGTATATCATTTGTAACACATTCTTATACTCCGTCAATTCATGTAGGCCTTGTGTTCATACTTTGTCAAGATCTGTCAAAAATGTAGCTTTGCTATCTAAGGTGGTTGGACTTAGAAAGGAGGCTATATTGACTACTCCGACCTTCCTGGTATCTTACTTGGTTATTAGCCAAAGGACTCATTAGTGACCTATGAAGCACGGACACGCGACACGACAAGGACACGTAAATACCCAAATTTTCAAAAAATGGAGGACACGACACACTGGGGACACGTTTAATATATATAATTAATTTTATTTATTATATGTCATAAAATTATTTAAAAAAATTATTTTTTTATTTAATGTTATTTTAATAAAAAATAATTAATTTTATTTATTATATGTCATAATTAATTTTATTTATTTTATTATATGTTCAATACATATTATTCAAATGAACAAAACTAATCAAAAAAAAATTTATATAAAATGGAATTAGAAAAAAGAAAAAAAGAAGAGAAAAGAAAAAATAAATAAAATTAAACAGAGGCTGAGAGAGAGAGAGAGAGACAGCAACTGAGGGAAAGAAGATTAGATCAGACAGAGGCTGAGAGAGAGAGAGAGAGAGAGAGAGAGAGAGAGCGACTAACGACCGACAAGAGACGAAGAAGAATGAAGATCGAAGAAGAAGAAGAAGAAGAAGAAGAAGAATGAAGATCGAAGAAGAATAGCAGCGTGTACCTTAACGATGAAGGGCGAGAGACAAGTGACGACCGACGAGTGATGACCGATGAGAAGAGAAGACAAACGACGAACGACGAATCGATCAGGTCCTCTCTCTCACCCTTTCTCTGCTGTTTCTATTCTAATCGAAGTAGATTAGGGCTGATCTATTTTTACTTATTTACAAATCGACCACAAAAAAATTATGTAAATTGTGAAATTACCCCTCGAACGTGTCCCTAAAGTGTCTAACGTGTCCGGATGTGAAAAAAAAAAATTTAAAAAGGGACACTCTCTGCTGCGTGTCGGACACGTGTCCACCGCGTGTCCAACGCGTATCCGTGTCCGACACGTGTCCGACACTGGTACGGAGCCCTCGGAGAAGTGTCCGTGCTTCATAGTTAGTGACGTTTCCTACTCTTGTAACATTAGATAAACCCTGCATTTATTTGTTAATATATTTCCTGATGTTCCCGATTTTTGGGGCGTCACAGAGAGGGTTGCTTCAAATGGAGATAGAATTATTTGAGCCTACTTTGATTCTACGGGTCACATCATCTTCAACCTCACTTCATTCTTATTAATAATCGAACCTACATAACGAAATTGCTCACTCTTTGGTATCTCCTGCTTTTGAACCTCAACTTGTCAGTTATTTCTATTTCTACTGCTATTGAAGTAATATTCCATGTGTACAATTTTAGTATTATTTTAAAATATTTTTTAACGACTCAAGTGCTTCTATATTCTATCTAAATTTCTAATTTAGTGTTAATTCTTCTTTTAATTTCATCCACTATGATAATAACATCTGTAAATAGCATAAATCATAAGACATCATCTAAAATATGTCTAATCAATTCATCTATAATTAAGGCAAATAGGTACGGACTTGAGGCTAACTCTCGGTGTAATCTTCGAGTAATCAGAAATTCATTTGTTTCTCTTGCAAGTGAATTAATTGTAGTCACAATTCCATTATACATGCCATTCATCGCATTAATATAACCACTTTGTCAATATTTTTTTCTCTAACATCCACCATATTATACCCGCTAAAGCACACCCCATCTTAAGGTTTTTTTTTTTTTTTTTTTTTTCTAAATCCATAAAAACTATAAGCATATTCTTCTTCTTTTTCCTCCATATTTTTCTATTAATCTCCTTGGATGAAAATTTCAGCTAAATATTTCACTGATTTAATATGAAACCAAGAATAATTAAACGGGGAAAATAGAGATCAATTGATAAATTTTAAAATTACCAAAAGACCATATGGCAAAATAGTTGGGGTTAAAAGTGTCTATAAGCCAATGTTCACTATCTTATAAAACGGCAACTTTTCTTTGGTAAATTACATGAAAACAAGCTACAACTTAACCGTATGAGAAACAGGATAAGGAATGTAGAATCAATGCAATTCTACACCATCGAGCCAATTAGGCGCAGGTAATATCTTAACCCGAAACAACTTAAACTCTTCTTCAGCAACAACATTCCCAATAATGACTATTTGTGTCAACTTCGAGTCTTTAAAAATTGCAAACGCTTCCCAGTAATTTGTCACATTGACACCACTAATTGCAAATTCACCAAAAATCCAATCACTTCCTACTGTATGGGAGAGGGGAGAAGAGCACAAGTACCTTCTTGTGTCGACAGCGTGTGCACCGATTTCGTTGTATGAGATATCCAACACATTCAATGACTTTAGCAGTGTTAACGGCTCCAAGGCAGAAAAACTACCCATTTTGTTGTTACTAAGGTTCAAGCAAGAAAGAAGCTGCATAGCCTGCAATCCTGTCATAAAGACCGATAAAAAGCACTCAGTTACTTTCATTTAAATAATCATTAGAAATGCCTTTTAAGCATCAAAATGCACCATGAAACTATCAAGACTTTGACTGGCACCATTTTACAAAATAAAGATGGCCATGCAATAAACTAATGTTGTACAAATGTGTTTATGTATAATATTGTATATATGAAGACATAATACACATATAGATGAACAGACAGACAGACAGATAGATAGATAGATAGATATAGAAATACAATGAATTGAATATCGAAACCACAAAAACAGATTAAGTGACAATGAAAATTTTATAGAATTAATTGTAGTTTACCTTCAATTGAGCTAAGTTGGTTGTGGCTGAGGTCTAACATTTGGACCCACAATAATTTCTCAATAGACCCAATATGTGACAATGAAAGATTACCAAGTCGTGAACAGATATAATTATTGGTGCCTGATGATGCTGAGTCCCTGTAATGAGAACAATGCCTCAGCAAAGATTCCGGACTGGATGTCAGCTGCAGAAGCGCAAAAAATATGAGAATCTGTGTTATAGAAAATCAGTAACCTATATCAAAGGTTCAAGGCAAATCTTTAACACTAACTCTTACTAATATTATTAACTAGAGATCTCTCTGGGTGTGTGTTGAAAAGAACTATCAGAGACTCTCACACAAGACATTCATAATTCCAATGAACATAACTATATAGTTGGTTAGACTAATCTCAATAAAAATAATAATAAACCCACTATATGAACAGATCAGCCACTAAATAGTTGAACTAAGTTTGGTTTTACTTTGAATTCTAGATGAACTTATTGAAGATGCATGCCCATCTGTTTACTTAAATGAGCATGTAAAACAGCATGTTTATAGGACTACAATACAAGTACAACTATTTGGACTTTGGATGGCTAAAGGGTCATTTGACCTAGTTCTTAAGCAAAATGAGTGAAAGCTTAAGTAAGAGCTGAGCCAATTTCTTTCAGTTTTAAGTGTGAAAAACTCTTCACTATGTTGAGCAAAGCCCTCAATCAAACCTAATAACATTTAGATTATTTAATACGAGGGCATTCAGTAGCTATCATCAGATTTCTAATTTGATGCAAGCATGATGAGTGGTGACAGCCTCACGTGTCCAGAGTTAGATGAAAGGCTTATCAATCTGTCATGTGTAACATAGACCAATTTACATAGCAATATGTAGGAATGATATGATCCAAGTTGAAGGTGACTTTAGCATAAGAGGGTGTGTGGGTTGAGGCTGTGACAACATGCCTTTGTATAGGGACAATTGAAGAAGACTGTTTCCATGGGACTTTGCCACCTGGGCTTGTTAAGTTGAAAACAGATATTTTCATTTTAAATGTTGTTTTACTAATATATTTTAAGCCTATCTATGACTTTATATATTGAGCTTTGAGGCATAATTTCATGTAAGATATCTGCGCTGGCCAATCAAGTAATCAATACGTCAGTAGGACATTAAAACCACCAGGAAATAATATCTGATGGTATTGACAAAATGAGCAGAGACAAACTGGAGTAGCTTGTCTGTTTTGGCCAAACTGAGCTCAAACAATAACAGCACAAATTCAACCGAACTAGAACCAGGCACAAGCACTGCTCCTTACCTTAAGCACAAACTCGCAATACATTGTTTGCTGCTCAACTCAGATGAGCTTGTTCTTACTCCTAAATGCAATGGTTCAAAGCTCTAGCTCTCCTCAAGAAGAACATGAAACAATAAAGAGATACTACTCATACATCCAGCACAACAATAAAAAATGAACCTACATGGACTGTGCTTTTCTACACAGTGATAGAGAAGAGAAGAGATATTCACCTGCTTTAACACAACTAAGCTGTATTCATCCTTGTAGTATTGAGAATGAGGCGGGTCCAATGTCATAAGATCACTATATAATTCTTTAACTTCTTCAGAATGGACCATCCTGCATGTCTCTGGAGTTTTATCATATGACATCATTGCATCATGTGCAGTCAACAATTCTGCACGCATAAGCTTTCCAATTTTCCTACAATAACCAGCGGGAGAAAATAAGAGGACATTGGACAAACAATAAAGCTGCTTTGATGCTGCAAAGCTACTCATGAATGAATTTCACATACCAGTTTATCTCTGACGGCAATTCCTGGAAAAGAGCTATCTCATTAACTATAGTCTCAGTGCTCCACTTAGAAGCTGTTGACTTATTCACCTCACTATTCCTCAGTTGATCGAAAATTTTAATTTGGGTTGGTTCCAGAAGATGTGTTTCACCAGTATGAAAATTATCATCTCCCCATGAAATCATCTCTGCACTTTTCATTTCAGCATGTTGCAAACCATGAGGTTGTATTAAAACTGTACGTTCAAAATGAGTAGGATGGCTATGGTGAAATCCACTCAGACACATGATTCCCTGAGAATGTCCAAGGCTGACCTTTATTGGATGAGTATGTAAGGAATGGAGATTCTCCTCGTGAAAAGTTAAATGTGTTACCCAAGCTTGGGAACTCCCAGAGTTGTTACTTGAAAGTGGTGACCAAATTAAATCTTTATTTGTGTTATGTACAGATTGCACAGTTATTGTAGATGAGCTAACACCTTCAACTGCTTCATTCAAATAAAGAATGAGTGGAATTATCCCACTATTAAGATGGAAACCTGTGATAGGAGACGAAGCACAAGTATCCCGGAAACCATCTGCTGATACATTAAGATTAGAACCATGAGGTGGCCAGGTAGAAACCAACAGAGGATTCTCCACTTTAACTGTTTTCTCAAGAAGCAAAAGATGATAAAACCATCCACTTTGATCATCCAGGTCAGTAAAAAGAGCTTGGTGTACAAGGTCATACTCCTCTGTCAGAACTTTCTCCTTTGAGAAAGATCCTTGAGCCCTTTTCTCCAGTAAATGAGACAGAATTACACTGCAGAACATTCATGGTAAGGTAAAGTAGAATAAAAGCAAGAAATATGTTTAAGCAAACAGACAGAGACATCACAAGGTAAAACATGCACTCAAAGCAACAGGCATGTTTGTGTAGGTTGAAAAAGAAAAAAAAGAAAGAAAAGGCACAATTGGATAGGAAACTTTAATTTTCTAATCCTGCTAGAATAGATAGAATATCAAAAGGTAGCAGGTGTTTCATCGTGCAGTTTCCACTAGAATATTAATGTGCATAAGAATTGATCATTTAACTCCAAAGCAAAGTTGAAGGTTAATCAAGCTACAATTTTATATAACATCACATGCCAGATTTACACGCATAGAAAGCAGCTTAAACAGTAGTACCAACAGAACAATGCCGTTGCAGATTAATCTGAAATAAACACCATTTGTTTCTTTTTTGGAATCTGTTAGGCTAATGACCATTTAAATAGTGAAGTGCTTATCAACTTTTGATATAAGGAATAGAACTAATGAATATTTTTTCTCCTGTTCCACAAGGTGCATGAAAGGAGACAGTATTTTGCAACCTTGCATCACAATATACCATCAATACAAGTTACATGTTTTAAAGTGGATGTTTTCTATAACATTGCATGCCATCAATATCTTATCAACCTTGCATCACATTACAAGATAACTTATACCCAGTCTGTCATGCTTTACCTATTTTGAATGTTTTTATTACATAAACAATAAGTCACATGGTTTAAAGTGGATATTTGAATATTTTGTCTTTAACTAAAATGTCATAAAAAAAAGAAAAACCTATGTCGCAGAAAATCCACAAAATTTTTTGTATGTTCTATATAACTATGCATACTACCACTAGACATTCTGCTTCTATAACGGGACCAAAGCTAGAACTAATTTCAAAGTTCCAACACATTTTTCCTAAAGCAATTTTTGCAAAAGAATCTAAGGATTATACAATTAGGTCATGTTTGATTCACAAGACTAATAATGAAGTATTAATAATCCTATAAAATTAGTGTAGTATTCACTATCCAATTGGATTAATATCCATTGGATTAATAATCCCACCCCTACCCTATTACTAATAATCCTACAAATTTGTTGGATTAATTATCCATTGGATTAATAATCCTAAACCAAAATATTAAAACAAACATAGGATAATTGGGCCCACGGATTAATAATCCTAATCCCATGTTCTAATCCACCCAATCAAACATGCCCTTAAAGGATTATCAGTGATAACTTGATAAGATACATCATAAACATTGTGAAAAACAAATTATAACTGAACCATGAAGCCACATAAAACAGTATGACTTTGGCACATCTCATTGTAATGCTACAATAACAACAGTATGATATGTGTATGATTTCAAAAGTTGTGATCTTCATACAGGACATTCAACTTCGAAGTTCGTGGCTTGGAAGTACTACAAACTAGTGTTGATTCTTCAGTGTTGCATTTCGATTTTAATTGCGACCTTGATCTTGATGTTGCCTTCATGCTGATTGGTTGATCTGTTGACTCATTTGTCCGAAATTTATATTGTGGCTTTTCGCCTTTCAGCTGATGCCTTGATTAGGTAGTGAATGTGTGGTGACGTTGCCTGCTGGTCCATTTTGGCTGAAGTTCAAGACCTGTATCTTAACAGTGCTTCATTCCAGTGCTACAATGAGTAGTTGTAACCTATTTTGTACATACAGTTTTGACTTTTTAACTTATTTTATTTCTTTTTTGCTATTTTAGTTGTTCCTACTTGTACATACAGTTCTTCAGTTATAAAGGAGGAACATACCTGGTTCTGGATCTAAACCCTAATTCTTAGGTGCGAACCCTAGATCGTCTCACCAAAAGTTTCCATCACAAGTCTGATCGACTTGATCCGAAGCCACAAATTTGACTTCACAATCAAGGACTGAACCTAGATTTGGTAGTCGCAATCCAAAGCCATCACGATCTTGTTTCTTGTATTACGAACTAGTTTTTCTCTCTGAAATCAAAGTTGAGTTCGCGAACTGATCAGATTTCTTCATTCGCGTCTGGTTCGCAGCACTTTGGATTGAGTGATTCGGAGAGTAAAGAAAAGAAATGGAGTGGTACGTATTTTTTTTACATTAATAATTGAGGCCTCAAATTTTTTGCCTCAAATTTGGCTCGAATTTTCTTTCTTTTTTTTCTTTTTTTTTTTTTTTTTTTTTGTTGGGTTGATGCTTTGCTTGTTATTATTATTATTATTTTTATTTATTTTTTTCTGCAATGTATTAGCCCAGAAAAAAAAAATGCATTCGAGGCAATTTCGAATCCTTTTGAGGCCTTAATCCCAGCTCTTTTTTTATTTTGTATTGATATCATTTAAGTATAAGAAAATAAATAAAAATAGGAAAGAACTAGAGAGACTTATTTTCTCTTATCATTTATATTTTTGATTTTTTTAAAAGTGAAGAGATTAGAAAAGGAAAGAATTCCACTAATTTTCATAGATATTTTATTTTATCTTTATAAAATAAAAAAAATAAATATTAAAAATATAAAAATATTTTAGTAATATAGAATATAGATTTTTTTTTCTCCTTAATGAAGACGCTTATTACATAAGAATAAGATAAATTTAATTATTTCTTTTTCTTTTATTGTTTCTTATTTCAAAAAAAAAAAAAAAAAAAAATAAAAAAAAAAAAAAAAAAAAAAAAAAAAAAAACTTTTCTTTTCTACTAGTTTTCCAAACATAGTCTTCAAGTTCGTCTATGGTCTTCTCTAGGTCGAAGCACTTGAAAAATCTCAGATTCTGTCGAAGTGGACCAAGAAGCTGCGAAATCAACTTCCATTTCCAGTATCATAAACACAAATTGCGAATCGAAGTTGTTGTTCACATTGTGATTTCAGAATCACAGAACACATCGATTCGAAATTTGTTGGAATCTTCGCAATCGTGACCTGGCTCCTTTGATTCGCATTGGAAGCCATTTGATTTCGCGATCTGAGTTTCAGCTTGGGTTGCTTCGACTTCGAATTGAACTTCGCAAACTTAAACCTGAGGAGAAATCGATCTTTGGACATCAAATCAACTTCAGTCCGAAGTCCTAGTTGAGTTTCAAACTTGAATCTGAAACCCTAGATGCGATCTGGACTCGAACCCGAAACTCTTGAGTGCGATTAATATCTTTCAAACCTCTATATTTTCATGCAATGCCTTTGTGTGGATCTGATTTCACGACATGTGTATGATTTCAAAAGTTGTGATCTTCATACAGGACATTCAACTTCGAAGTTCGTAGCTTGGAAGTACTACAAACTAGTGTTGATTCTTGAGTGTTGCATTTCGATTTTAATTGTGACCTTGATCTTGATGTGGCCTTCATGCTAATTGGTTGATCTGTTGACTCATTTGTCCCAAATGTTTATTGTTGCTTTTCGCCTTTCAGCGGATGCTTTGATTTGGCAGTGAATGTGTGGTGACCTTGCCTGCTGGTCCATTTTGGCTGAAGTTCAAGACCTGTATCTTAACAGTGCTTCATTCCAGTGCTACAATGAGTATTACGGTGCTCTAGATTTTTGCTAGATGGCTAATAGAGATCGGGCTTGGAGAGGTGGTCATGTTAGGATTTTTGCATGAAAATTGGGTGAAGATGTGAGGATGAATTTCTCAATTGGAATGAGCAGTGATACTAATCCAAATTAAAATCATAATCAAAGAAATGAGTTGGAGCAAATTATTGGATGACTTGTCACATCGCACGCTGTCATTGAAATTTTTGAAAGTTTCAAAGAAATTATTTGAGGTTTATTGTTGTGACTCCCTTCATACCACTTCAGGAATTTGTTTCGAGTTAATAGGTTGCTTTTTGTGGGGTCAGTTCGCATTTGAGTCCAAAGGAAGGAAGGAAAGAAGGCATGCACTGCTGAAGTCTTAACTCATGATCAGTTTTCTCTCAAGTTGTTCTTGTCTAGTGGTTGCATAGTCAATCCTATCGATTGGTCACAACTTTCAGCCTTGTTTGTTTTGGAAGATATCATTTGTCAGCCAAGTAGTCTCGTTCCGACAGGAAGAGTACTTGTTTACACCAGTCTGCATGTCAGCGGTGAAGAGGCTCGAGAAAATCGGAGTCTATACAAGTGTTCGCAAGGGAGAGTTTGGACATGATAGAAGTTGTTAGTTTGCACCTATGGTTGCTTAGCCAAAGTAGTGGATCGATGTATTAGTGTAAGAATGAGTTGTAAGGAAACATGTTTGTATTGAGCATGGGGATGCAGCGTCTATTTCCTCGCTTAGGGATTCAATGCATGGTGTTACATTGCGTACACTTAGTTGCTACTTAAACTTGAGAACAAGTTTCTTAGAGAGAGAGAGAGTATGATGTAATATAATAAATAGACTAAGTGTTTGCTAAATAACTTATTTGTTGTAATATATAAATAGGTAATGTAATACCCATTGTACTTAGTTTTACAATACAAAATATACATTGTGATCGGAGTAGAATTTAGTTTCTCTCTCTGTCCTTGGGGTTTTACCCCTAATTGGAACATTTGCTTTCTCTCTCTCAATTTGATGTTGATTTGCATTTAGATTTCATTATTAAGTCCCTTTCCACTTGCCTCACCTTTTAAATTGTAAAAGTCATTTAAATTAAGAGCAGTAATGGCTAAAGATTTTGTGAAGCCTTTTTTATTGAGGTTTTTAACAATAAACATTTTTTAAGATTTTGTTATTTATTTATAATTTTAACCAATAGACTAAATGACATAATTGTTACCTCTGATTCAGAGTTTGAACAAGTGATTGAAAAAAAATATATATATATATATATATATAGCTGGAGCAATGCACTTGATTGAACTAATAGTGTACATATTACCTCAGCTTTAAATAAATATATCAATGTGGTTATATATCAATTAATTAGGAAAAATTAATGAAACATCTATCTCTAACTTTGGTAGTAGGAGAGGTCTAAAATATTTTTTCTTATTAGTTAAGGTTCCTCAATAATATTATTCGAGAAATTTCAACTCGTCCCAAAATTTCTTTGTGATGAGCTAAAATTTCTCTATAAAATTTATTTTTGCAAAAAAAGAAATTTCTCAGTGAATAATTGAAAATTTCTCTTTTTGTGAAAATGTTAAAAAATCCCAACTGCTATAAAAATATTTCATATCATTTATCTCATAAAATTCTAAGATCCAGGATCTTAAACTAAAAATCCCTTAATTAATATATCTATAAATATCAATATAATTTTAATACCATAAATATTTAAAACTATGCAAATGTTACTCAAAATGTTTATTTGAAAATGTAGATAAGGGTTTGCATGCACTAAAAGCACTTGGTTGTTAAAAACCTTAATACTGTTTATTAATTTCCAATGAGTTTGAGATGCTGTCAATTATCACAGTGCAACCACTAACCAGCCTATGTTGCTAACTAGCCTATGTTTGAATCAACCAATGAGTTTGATTCAAAAAACTAACTAGCCTATGTTGCTTTAGAGTATCTTCAACGGTGAACTTCTTTTTTCATTAAATCTGAGAAAAAAAATGATAATTTTCTCAATTTGATACGAGGCGCTCCAACGGTGAGCATCAAAGCAGAATTGAGGGAAGTTATCGACCGGTTAGAGCAATTTATTTTTTTTTTACCTGTTTGAACCTTTTTTGACCGGTTTGAACCTACCTATTTGAAAGGAAACCGGTCGACCGGTTGGTCAACCGGCCGGGCAACCGACTGGTTGACCGATTCAGCTCTTCCAACGGTCAGGAACAGTAATTTGGTAAAATTAGTACTTTGTTCTCAGTTTGATGATTTTTTTATTGAATTCTCATTTTGATATTAATTTGGTGAAACGGTTGGAGCACCAAAAAATGCTTTTTTCACCAAAATTTAAATTTAATGTCAAGTTTGATTCACCGTTGGAGATGGTCTTAGAAGGATTGAGTTTCTCAAGCTATTACCTTTTTTATTTTGTGCCAATGATAGAAAAGTGAATGCCTAGAAGTTTGAAAATAAATTTAAGTTTTGAATCCTTCAAAAATTCAAAAAAAAACATCCTTCTAAGTCCGAATTTGAGTTTATTCTATATTTGTTTAGAGAAATTTTATAGGGTAAATTACATCAATAATTCTTACATTTTGTTTATTATGTCATTTTGATCCCTACACTTTTGATTGTTTCAATTTTGATTTTTAATTTAAATTTTTTTTGTCAATTTATAGTCTAATTAATAATACCATTAGTGTATTTTTACGAAAAATACATTACAAATATAGAATAAACTCAAACCATCCGTTACAAACCATCCATTACTTTTAATTTTTTTTGTCAATTTATAGTCTAATTAATAATACCATTAGTGTATTTTTACGAAAAATACATTACAAATATAGAATAAACTCAAACCATCCGTTACAAACCATCCATTACTTTTAATTTTTTTTGTCAATTTATAGTCTAATTAATAATACCATTAGTGTATTTTTACGAAAAATACATTACAAATATAGAATAAACTCAAACCATCCGTTACAAACCATCCATTACTTTTAATTTTTTTTGTCAATTTATAGTCTAATTAATAATACCATTAGTGTATTTTTACGAAAAATACATTACAAATATAGAATAAACTCAAACCATCCGTTACAAACCATCCATTACTTTTAATTTTTTTTGTCAATTTATAGTCTAATTAATAATACCATTAGTGTATTTTTACGAAAAATACATTACAAATATAGAATAAACTCAAACCATCCGTTACAAACCATCCATTACTTTTAATTTTTTTTGTCAATTTATAGTCTAATTAATAATACCATTAGTGTATTTTTACGAAAAATACATTACAAATATAGAATAAACTCAAACCATCCGTTACAAACCATCCATTACTTTTAATTTTTTTTGTCAATTTATAGTCTAATTAATAATACCATTAGTGTATTTTTACGAAAAATACATTACAAATATAGAATAAACTCAAACCATCCGTTACAAACCATCCATTACTTTTAATTTTTTTTGTCAATTTATAGTCTAATTAATAATACCATTAGTGTATTTTTACGAAAAATACATTACAAATATAGAATAAACTCAAACCATCCGTTACAAACCATCC